AATTAAAAAAAAAACCTATGTTACTCACAGATAAATTACCATTCTAACAGTGTAAGAATTTCTTAAATCTGCCCAGTAGTTTTTGAGTTATTACAATACATACAAAAATACAATAATACAAATCTTTCCTCTTTATAATGCTAGTATAGATATAGACGTATTACGTTTCCTATGATAGAGAATATATTGACGTGTGATCTTTAATTTCAATATGCATAGATATTCAAGTTAGCAATGTGTAGAGGCGCATCTTTAAAGTAGTCGCCGGTCTATTTTTACATCGCACGACAAGCCTAGTCATAGGGCAACGACCATCAGATGCATCCACACGGTTAATTTTTAAAAAGTCATTGCCCTTCAAACCAAGGTAACATCAATCACAAATAAACATTAGTTATTAGAAAACAAAATATTTGTTACTCTTTGTTCATGTTTTGAAAGTTAAAAGCAATCGTTAGGTTTTTTATTACATTTCAATCGTGATGTGAAAATTTTATACTTCTAAACAAGTTAGTGAAATATACAATTATAGATTGAATAGAAATCCATAAGAAGTTGTAAGTTGTATTGGTTTTTATTAAAAATAACTTCTGCATTTGTTTTAAGCTTTATTTATTAAAAAGGGTTTTAAATTGACGCTTAGTTTTAATTTTTAATAAAGATCGAGTACGATTTAAGTAGAGGTTATAGTATATGATATAGTTACCTACATATCGAAGAGAAAGTGAACCCTAGGGAGTGAGTACTTCTGTGTCCCAATAACAGCACATAGCTGCACGTTTCGTTGATGTCTTTCCAATGCTCAAAACGTATTTACTTAAGTATAAATCAAGTTATTTTGTTATTGAATTTATAATTAATTTTAATAATTGTTTAAAGTTACAATTTATTTATAAAATTTTAATGACTAATAGAATTGCTTCTATGTTGAGTTTTCTATAGTATAATGAAGATGTTTGTGTATGCGCGTGACTATCAAGTTATACTGGTCGTAAAGGATAGTATGGCTAATGACTTCTCGATATATCGTCTCACAGTAACCCGATGAGTGTTGTCTTAAAAAATGCTACTCGTGTAATAAATGTTACCGCTTACGGTTACGAGGTGTACGATAAAGTGAACAAAGCACGGACGTTATACGATTTTCGGCCATCCGTTTATAATACGTATAAGGCTTCGAAACTGTGGTACGAAGTAGTCTGTCCCTCTCGCACTTGAGCGGCGTCCCTCGCGCCGCACGTCAGCGCACCAACCAGCCAACCAATTGACCGGTATAACGTCAACCTTCAGTTTTTCTTTTATTTATAACTCGCTCTGGCTGGGTAAGTTGTGCCGCCTTCGAACGGTCGAGAGCACTTGAACAACTTAATGCTCTATGTCAGTTGAGGTAACTTGTTTCACTGTGTTTTTTATGTATTTATTTATGAAATGATCATATGTTTTTATTTATGAAAAAAAATTGCAAAATAAAATTATAGTGGTGAAACTATTACAGTAATTATTTTCTCTTGCAAGTAAAATTATGAAGCATGACTTAATTAAATTACTTAAATTGTAGAATGCATGTGCCAAGATTCACCTTGGGTCTATGCGCCAACAGAATATGTATGAAATGCTAAGAAAACATTTTTTCTTCTAATACTTTAAAAAAAGCTTGTAAAAAAAAGTGAAAAAACTCAAAAATTAAGGATTTAACTTATCTTGTTTATTTATTGTCTGCATCTGCATCATGTTCTATAATAATAGTGTCTGGTCTATACGAGTCGAATTTAACTTATGTAATTAAGTCGCATTTACTGTCATAGAGTACATTGCTAGATACATTATAAAACTAGATTAAAATAATACAAAATAAAATATTACTATTGAAAAGATGATATACCATTTAGTATTCAAGTACACTTGTACAAGCAACTGGCGTAGATTTAAAATGTGAAGGCAGCACAACGCGGTTTAATGAACGGGCAGCAATGGCGGTGGCGCGCGGCCGCACGGCGCGCAGTCGGCCTCGGGCACAGGCGGCGCGCGCGCACCTCACGTCGCTACAGTGAAAGGCCGCATGACTCACAGCCACGCCAGACATGAACGAGTACGCCGAATATGACTGGAGGCTGCAGCAGATGCAGAACGAGCGCCTCTGTGACGTATCCAGGAAGAGGCTCACCGATGGTGACAGACAACGGGCCCTCGACGGGCTGAAGGAAGCCGTTGATTCGAGCCTTAACCTCGCCCTACGCGACAAGAGTCGATGTCAAGACGACAACTTTTTGCGGCGATTTCTGTACGCACGCAAACACGACGTGCAGCAGAGTTTCGAGCTGCTAGTTCGCTATCACCAGTACCGGCGCGAGCACCCAGAGCTGTGGGCGGTGGCGGACGGCGGCGTGCTGCGGGCGCTGGCCGACGGTTTGCCGGGCGTTCTCTCGCAGCGCGACCGGCGCGGCAGGTGCGTGCTGATCATGTTCGCTTCCAACTGGACGCCGCACGCCTGCCCGCTGCTCTCCGTGTACCGAGCGTTGTTGCTCACGCTGGAACGGACGCTAAACGATGTTCAAAATCAAGCCAACGGCTATGTTATTATTGTGGATTGGACTGAGTTCACGTTTAAACAGTCGTGCAGTTTGCAAGCTAAAGTTTTAAAGTTAATGATCGACTGCCTTCAGGACTGTATGCCGGTTCGGTTTAAGAGCATACATTTTATTGGACAACCTTGGTACGTGGAGACCGCCTTAGCTGTAATTAAACCCTATTTGAAAGCGAAGACGAGGGAACGAATTGTATTACATGGGAACAACCTTTCGACGCTGCACGATGCGTTACCTCTCGACATTCTTCCCGCTGAGCTGGGGGGAGAGGGACCTTCTTACAATTCAGAACGTTGGCTAAAGGAGTTTTGTCAATATGAAAACATTGATCCGTCGCCGGTACCGACGATAACCGCAACTGCACCCCAGGATAACGAATTACCGGCTGCTAAACTGGACAAAGCGTACATACATAAAGACAATCAAAATTTTTCGTTTCATAGCAACGAGAAAGGAGCAAAATCAGAACTATTGCGTGATAAAGACTGACCTTTCGGTGCACCGCTGCAATGTTGTTACAAAGGACAGATGTGCTGCCCCCACCTTTGCCAGGTGTATAATATAATACATAATATGTATTTTGTGATATCCAGTGTTTTGAAAACTATTGATTCTTTAATGTCCCGGCACCAAAATTAGTTATTCGAAAGCGAGTGTGTGGTGAAATACGATATTTCAGTCATAAGGTTTCAGAATTAAGTGATGACTTTTAGCCAATGTACTTTAACGATTATCGGAGAACTGTATTGACCTCGCTTAGTGCATGTAAAGATTATTAATTATTCATTCGGATGTCATCTTCGAGTTAAGTAGGAGTAACCTCGAATACTTCCGCGTGGGCCTAACGGTTCCGAGCTCTCATTTTAAAATATTCATTCATTATGTATGTATGTAGAGTCACTTTTACTGAAACACATGACTCATATATCTAAATCTTCTATGAATCGTATTTTGCTTGTCATTTATCATACGAAGATGTTGTGATAATTCATAACTATTATACAACGTGATTGAATATTGCTGTTGATATTTTGTGAGGCTTGTTGCGCATTTACTTATTTATTGTTAAGTTCCAAAAAAGGTCGATGCGATATTTCTGAAATGGGCTTCTTTATACAAAGTGATTTGAATTCTATGTATGTTTTGATGCGAATGGGACAGTATTAAATTATTTAAATTCGTGTCCGCTAGTGTTGAGTGCTCATTGTTTAGTTTTATTTTCATATTGTGCGAGGATGGCTGTATTTGTATCGAGTGATGTCATATGTCTATCTCCATGCTCTCTTAGGGTAAGCTTTACTCAGACGTTTGTCTGAAAGTCGAATATATTCAATGTATCTCAGTGTCTTCTGCTTATAAATGTTATATTATTATGTAAATACGTCATATTTTCGACGCTTAGAACCTGATATTATGAATTACATAATTAATTATACAAACTGCATTTCATTTATAACCTATATGGGTTGAACGTTGTGATATTTTCGATATTGAGGTCAGAATGAGGTGTTAAGTGGGAAAGGAAACCAAATATAAAACGTAATTTCCGTACAAAGCAACAGAAATGTGTCTAATGATTGTGTGAATAAGAGCGAAACGAGCTCGTTTACTTTTGTTTTTTTTGTTTAAACTATAAAAGTATAAATTAGTATAACTAAAATGATTTGCTCTTTTGTTTTATTCTATAAGTACATATTTTCTTCAATAAAACTCCAAAAATATAATATCAATGTAAATCAAATATCGTGGTACAGATTTATATGGTGTTACACACGGTGTAATTTAGGATACTCGTATCGATCTCAGATCTAGAGCATGTTTAGCAAAGTATTGCAGAATATAGCAGGTTGTACGCTAGGCTGGTTCATACAGATCACGTCGGCGTCGGACGTCACAGTCGGCGATGCGTGGACAATGGCCGAGCGGCGCACGCGCACGCTTCGTGTGAGTCACGTGGTACTTCCGTCGCCGCGCCGGAAGGACCTACCATTTGTCACCTAATCCTTACTCAAAGTTGTACGATTTTTTTCTATATCTACGCTTAGTTCGATAACCTCCTTAGTAAGTAAACAGAGCGTGTACGAAATAATTAAACGAAGTGTTACAATGTTATCTCTTCGCAATGTTTTGGTTCGAATTTGCGCTAAGAACCGGTCTATTTGGTAGTGACATTCACTTAGTAGATTAATTTGTTAACATTTAACTTATTCATCTGCTTATCGAAGTACGTTCTTCGATATAGTAGAATTTAACAATGTCAACCTGCTCAACTAAAACAATGCAAAATAGTTACATTTAGAACGATTATAAGTTACAATAAAAGTTTTTAGACCTGAAGTCTTATCATATTTAAAACTTTTGTTTTAGAAGGAGATTGGTGACCATAAATTGATTTGAAAGATTAGAATTATTTGATACTACGTCTTCATAACCCTACTGCAAAAATCATGGTGCTATCTCTTTTCCTAAAAGAAGAAGGGAGACGACAATGTATTTTGTATAGGTGCTTTAACAATGGGGACTTACGGTAAGTTTTACATTATAACTATCGTTTTAAGTCGAAAACAGTAACGCATCTGCGGTTGCAGGTGTTTTATTAGCCTTGATATTAAAAGATCGGCTTGTCCTTTCTACAATTACACATTACAAAAATAATCTTAATAAAAAATGTATTTCGTGCTGAATTTTAATCTGCCAGAACTAAAAAATGTAATAAAAAATCCAAAATTAAAAGCACAATATGCAAAACACAGGAGGAAATATGCCACTTTAGTGGCGGATTACAAAGAAATGTCGAAACTTTAAAACTAAGCATTCTTTGTGGTAATTTGTATTTTGGGTCCTTTGTTGAAACCCGGTCTTATTGAAGGCACAACGAGATTTCATTTATTAGTATAAATTCACACTATTTTTGCAATTGATATTTATCCTTTTTCTCTAGGGCCTGGGGTGTTACTAAAGTTATTTTCCAAAAGTATATCCATTTTACAAAAACGAAAATAAAATCAAAGAAAGCAAAACGATCTTTTGTCTGTAACGTAAAAGATTTCTAATGAAGACAACAATTAGCAGCCTGCTCCAGAGTGATTTAAAGGCTGGAAGTTTTTATTGTAGTTATAGGACCAAAGGAACAGCGGGTTGCCTTGTATTAACGAACATGAAATTCCTTAAACATCTGTACAGCTCTAAGCAATAATACAAGCCCAAGTTTTAATTTTTATAGCAATTCAATAGCAAAACAACTAAAGATGTGACTAAAATTGCTAGATGAAATTTAGATTTTTGAATTACAAAGATAATTAGAAAGGAACCATTTTAAACCTATAACCGTACCAATTTCGTAGTAATTTTAAAAATAAACTTTTCTGAGTCAATATTGGTTTACCTGGTATTGTTATGGTGTCGTAAAGTGTACATTGCGATTTTAAGCTATATTATGTACATACTTGTTATTCTTTGCTTATCTTATCCTATGGCCCGATAGCCGGGTTTGATAAAATCAATATGTTATTCCCACGCGAAGTGATATCACAGCGTATTATTACGTTTTCTGCATAATTTTAATATGTCGAAATCGATTGCATCATTTCTAAATATACAAAAACAGTATCACTATTAGGAGACAAGGTTCTATCTAGATTTTTACATTTTCATATAAAATTTACATAATTAAAGGTAATAATAAAAATAATTGTGAGGGTAAATCTTTTCGCTTTTCATTTGTCTAGATTTTATTTCAATTGGCGGAAAACCGTTGCAAGGAGCCTTTTTTATAACACGATAATTATGAAATCCCTACGTCTTGTGTTTTTAATTAATTATTTTGATACATAAGTACATTGTGACAAAAGAAAAAAACTGTTTTAAAATCTGAATTTAATAGAACCGAATAAAAACAATTATCATTATAAGTCACTAAATAAAGATTGCCAGCAACTTTTATTCGATCTGTCCGAAAACATTAAAACCTTTTTGGAATGTTCGAATTTATTCGATACAAGTAGAAACTCGAAACATGTATTTGCGGTGCGGCAGTGGTCGAATCGTGATCCATATCTTATGCCGACATAAACCGCAGGAGACTCGCCTCACCATCGCCTCGCATGCGGTTCTTTAACAGTAACTAACATGTGCTTAACTAATAAGCAAATGTTACGTAAATACATTTGTACTTTGTACTCAGTGTTGCCATGACAAACAACTGTCACGTTTTTATAACTTTGAATGTTGTGTAAAAATAACTAAATAATTTGAGAAGGTAGAATAGTATCATAGAAGCTTTAAGCTTATTATAAACGTTTAATTTGGCTTGTAAATTACCAGTTAGAAATATGCATGTAAGAACTGTAAAAGGTATAACTACTTGCGCTAAAATACAAACGTAGATTATGAAATCTTCAAATTTATTATTCAGGGTAACCTTTCTAGAAAAAATACAAAAAGTGAATATTACTATGCAAGCATGGTCATCGATTACACTCTTTAGATGGTCCTTTCTCCCGAAATACAAGTGATGTTTCTGCTATGACAAGACCGTCGTTATGTTGCCAGTTTGTGAGTAAGCAATTCGTTCAGGTTCAAGGTGTTAACGCGACACAAGCGCCGTTAACTAATAACATTTCTTAACAACTCCCCTCTCGACAAAAACACATTACTTTTACCGTTATTATTTTGTATTCATGTATATAACTTTTGAAATGAAGCTTTAATAATTTAGCACGAACCACTCACTGCATGTCAGTTATTTTTTAACTTTAGGATTACGTACTAAGAATATTATTTTAATTTAACATTTTAAGGGCCTGTCCCACCAAATTGAAAATTGTCTGATACCAATCCGACGTGTAAAATATGTAATGGAAATATCTGATTTTGTTCCCTTAGCGTAAGCTGTCTAAGCATCTATCAGACAGTGGTGGGACAGGCCCTAAACATTGCACTGTCGACGAGAGTTTTTAAAATTTTATGTTATTTATTACTTTTGACATGGATTAGATCAGGGTTAGGTCTTATATGTTTTACAACATGTTTACTATGACAGACAATTTATCATTAGAAATGTTACTGCTTGCGTAGTTTTGAAATTTGTGGAACAGGCCTGGGTTACTTTATGTTTATCTGACAGTGAAGATTTAAGAAGTACTGATACAAACGGTGAAATTAAAATTAATTTTATTTATTATATTGAAATTAAACTATTAACGGTTTTGATTTCTTATCATGTAATCGTCAAGAAACATACACAATTATCATATAGATTAAATTTGATTTAATAATAAAATTTTTGTTGTAGCTGTTATCAAATACAGAATGATTATAATAATGAAATTATTTTGTTGCAAGTCATTCCAATGCGTTTGAAGCAAGAAATAACTGCATATAAAATAAGTTAACAAGCTTTTAAAATTATATTAATTATGTTTAACTTGATAATTGATTTAAATAGTTATTTATTTAAATCTGAACTTTTCAACTTTTGACAGATCGAGATCATTGATTACCGGTTTCTTATTTGGAAAGTAATATAGATTGATTGGATCTAATTTTCGACTAGAAAACATTTTCATCGTAACTCGGCAGTCTCCCGTATGCGATGCAGTTCTGCGGTGCATAAACGGATGCGCCATTGTTTCGTGGTATATTAACCGAAACAAAGTATGACCGTTCATATAGCGGTATAAGAAAATAAAGAAGAGTATGCTTGCTTTCTTACAGACAAGTTTTGAAAGCTGTTTTTATATTTAATTATTGAGTTTTTTTAAAAAAAAAAATAACGTCTAATCCAACGAAAATATTTTATATTAGGTTTAATTTTTTTTTAATTATAATTCGTAGACCAAAAATTTCATGTTAGTCAATTTAAATAAATTTTAAAGTAACAAATAACAATAATACATTTAAATGTAATGTATAATAACAAATACCTTTACCTCTTAATTTTGGTTAAAGTCTTTGCTGGAAATCTTAAAAAAACATTATCTGTACAAGCAAAGCAAGTGGCTTAGTCTGGTTTCTTCTCGGCTTATCTCTATTTACAACTCTAAAACTTTATCTAACTTGTTTAATCTTTTGATGACATTGGGCGATAAGATATTCTTTTAATTTTTTGGGTGATCCTAACGTTAGAAGTGGTTATATACTCAATTACAACGTTAGTGGTTTTATAAGGACTTTGTTCTATATATTTGTGAATCGAGCCTACAATTTTCTTTATCTGGACATTATACAATCTTTTCAGCTTTCTGGCATGTAAAACACGGAGGAAGCAAAAATGAGTAGCAGTATAGATGTAATGATTGCTGCACTCTTTCGAAACATGCTAATAAAACTTCAAATTTCACATATTTGATGGAAAATTTTATACCAAAAGATAACAATAGTTTAATTCAACAGATCTGAGAAATTATAATAAACCTACCTAGACAATTTTACCTTTTCGAGACTGTAATCACAAACTTCTAAAATAGACAGGTTTGCATTGTCAATTTAAAAAGCATAGATAATAAATGACCATTGTCAGCCAGAAAAATGTGTAAATATAAATTCATATACAGGAAAAGATAAATAAAAAAGCGCACACCTAACACAGCGCATCAGTATCTGCATGCTAATGTCGTGTTCCCATTTTTTCTATTATTTACTCTAAAAAGCGTAGTTTTATGATAAAATTCATACACCATAATGTAATTACATTGATGACAGATAATATTGTGTAAGCATTGTTTACGAGATCGCACATGAATGTACTCGTTTCAATATGACTCTATCGCATCGCAGGTGGCGAGTGTGAATTTCAAAACAAACTTTGCACCTCACATGGAAGACTGTCCCACGATGATTTCTTGATAATTTCTTGTTTGTCTTGAATATAAATTAACACATCTTATTGTGTTATCGAGAGTTTTGCTTATGTTCGAACAACGTGTACATATAGTAGGAAATTTACTTGTATAATTTAAAAACTAGTGTGCAAAGATTAGTAATACATTTTCCTAATTACCCTATAAAAATTGTTAGCTTTAGTGCCCAACTTTGAATGCATTATTTTTTTATTTCTCAGGTTTTTGTGTTTAAGTAAACTCTTGTTATGGTCACACTGTCTTTTATTGTAACTACGTCTATCTGAATAGTATTGTATATGTAATATAAAATAACCAATAACCTTGATATGTTCAATGACTTTTAGAATTCATAAAAAAATATAACAAGGAACGTTGCTCTTGAACGTTCCAATTGATCTTGTTATTTTTTTACTAATGTATACTTTGTCATTCTGGTATTTATTGTGTTTTTTGACAAAAGGTTACAAAAGAACCAACTAATAATTTGTGATCAACAATTTATTGTCGATGGCAGCACATTTTGCCACAATAATTCACAAACAAAAATTGGTGTGCGAAAGAATAGATAACACGAGAAACGCGAAAGGGTGTTCCTATGGAGCTTTGATTAAAGAAATACTTAGAATGTATCGTTCGCGACGGGCTTTGAGAATATGGAAATTACCTGATTTAAGAAGTTCAATAAAATAGCTTAATTTACGATGGTAACGCCATCTAACGAGTACCAATATTTTTTGAAATTTATTTAGCCACGCAACGCATAAACACGTCTATAGAATTTGCTAGTTATTTTATACATTTTGTTTTAAACATATTTGTGTCCATATCCCAATATTTGCTATACATTTGATTTACAGTAAGAGCCTTGAAAACTTTTAAATGTCTAATTTTGTTTGTGAGTCACAAGCTCGTTTTAGGTCAAAATATTGTTTGTTGCAAGCAACAATTGAAACATAGGTGAGAGTGGTTCCTGTTCTTTGTGTTGTTAACTGCAAAGGATCCGGTTTGAGATGTTTACTAAGTTCACAACACATTTGCGTCTGCTTCACAAATATTGTGTATTCGTTTACGTTGCGAATTCTCAAATGATTCCGTATCACTTACATTAAATACACATGTTCCTTTCTAAAATATTTTTTATCTTCGATCATCGCTAAAACTGGATACTTACTTATTTATAAGAATAAACGAAAATGGCTTACTTCTAAACAGAAGGACATATTGCAAAAAACATTTATTTCCTAGTGAGATCATTTTATGTGTTCTACTTTGTAAGCAGGGCATTTTTAGGTATAAATAACATACTTATTGGAAATTTGATATCAAATAACATGACTTAATAACTAACTGTCTCAGAAACTGTGCTGTTTAAAACGAAATGCATACTTTCACCGTAAGTATATTAGCGTGCATCTGGCGCACAATATTCTTCATTTATCTGACGATTCTATCACATGCATTGTAACTAGGGTTGCCAACGTTCAATAAATCAGTGACCACTTATATACAATTATGTTCCATTGGCAGATAAATCGAAAATAGGACATCTAGCGACTAGTTTCACATCCTGACTCGACATTAATGTCAAACCTTTGGCATGCAATTTTTAAGTCATTCAAACTCAAAGAGTTAGCAGCCCTAAGTCGTACTATGGATGGTATATCTTCTAAACGTATATGCATCGGGCACGCTTGGCCGAGCTGAGTCGTCATCGGATTATAACAAAGCATTATTGTTCTCTTTTAAGTTGATGAGCTCATACATCCAACTACGCAATCATGAAAATTTTGATGAAGGGACTATGATTTTTTTATGTTTTTCGGGTTAGTAAAGTTTTTTTTTTTAATAATACTAGTAATTATTTGCCGGCATCTGTTAGTCACGCTTGCATTGCCACCCTCAAAATTTCTTCCGGTAAATGTAGCCGTACGTAATGTATTTTACATGTATTATTTTCCGTAACAATAGTCATTATGTCCTATTTTGTATTGAGACAATCCAATAAGAATTATTTCGCGCGTACCATAATTTTGCCCAAAGTTTATTAGATCAATACATATCTGTTAACTGAAGGATTACATGCATAGCAATGATACAAAAGCAATCGCTCATTTGATTAGTAAGAACGTTGAATCATTGTTTCTCAGAGCATCTGTATATCATGATATCATCAGAGAAATTATTTGTGAATTAAGATGTTTATTTGTCAATAATCAGAGAAAAATAGAAGGTTTTTTTATTTGTTTTTAAATAGCGTTTTTCAATAGTGTTTTTTTTTAATATTCACTGAGTTTATTTCATAACTAAGTTCAGTAATTCAAAGTTTATTTGAAGGGAAAGACAATGAGAAATAATATAAGCTTCGATTAACAAAATAATTATTTAAAGCTGTTTTATACCTATAAGGAAAATTAATTTGAACATTAGAAACTGAACCGTTATTTAGTTGTTTTAAGTTTTCAGATATAATTACGTTTAAGAGAAAGGACCGTCAAATATTTCACAAGTCGTAATGACCTTGATGAATCATGTTTCATTGTTAGTTTCCACTGTTGAGACAATCGTGCAAAAAGTACTGTTTACTCTGTTTATTACAAAGAAAATGAGAGAGATGACAACATTTGTTTTGCAAGAGTGTTTTGGCAGCGGTAACCCAGATTTATTAAACAAATACGCGATTGGAACAAAAGCAATTGAAAGTAAAAAAAGTCTTGGACAGAGTATTGCTATATAACACTTGAACCGATGTACGTATGGTGTGCACGTGTGTAATAATCATTCATTATTTCCCATCGCTGCAGCTCTGGTCAATTGACTTTTGAATCGAGCCTGTGCTGTGAACAACATTTCGCCGTACGGTACAATCGAGTATTCACCGTTAGCTAATTACAACAACTCATAAGACATACATCAAAGTTGCGACTTCAGATCTAATGTGAAGGATACCACATATACCGTGGACCAAGGACATTATTTAGTTAGCACATCTTTTGAAATTAGAGATACACATCAGGGTACACTTGTAGGTTGAGATCACATTTATTTAAGAACAAACATGCTCGCAGAAAACAATTCCTGCAGTCTGAAGAAATAATAAGGTCTTAGACCACTTAATTGACTTAAGTTAGTATTTTAAGATTTGGAGTTAAAAGGAACAGTGGATATGACCTTAGTAAATACTAAATAATCACAGTTTGTAAACGAAAAAGTAGAGGTAGTTCACCATAGATTTTTTCAATTAGTGTTACGATTTTATTGAATTTTCGTGCAATTATCGCTTTTATTTATTTTTCGCAAATAAAAACTTCATCTTTCTTATAATTTGAACTTCGTCGGAGTTTTTGTCTATGACAATACTACTGTTTTTTTACTCTTTTAACTTGTAACTGACGTCGTCTGTCATCTGTCACTGTCATGACTTGAAAAATTGACAAATGACAACCAAACCAACCAAAATTCATCATCATTTGCAATATCAAAATTCGATTTAATATATTAACCACATTTTATGGGCTCACTACTTACTAAAGCAAGAACCGCGACAATGGCCAGTTCAACGGAAATCAAGCAATACATCAAGGATGCTGTTTCCAAAGACAAAGTAGTGGTATTTTCAAAATCCTATTGTCCGTATTGTACGCTGGCGAAAGATGTAAGTTTACTTTAGTTTTGTTTTTTAAATCACGATCTCAATATAAAAAATAATTAAATTACAAGTGTATACAATATGAACCAATAATTACAATATTGAATTTAAAAGTTTTCTAACCACCATTTTTTTTTCAGGTGTTTGCAAAAGTGAAGCAACCCATAACTGTTATAGAATTAAACGAACGCGATGACGGCAGTGCTATCCAGGAAAACTTGGCAGAATTAACAGGGTTTAGAACGGTAAGTTCCTTTTCAGGTATTTCATAACATATGACATCATCAGCGCTAATAGAATTTAGTACAGTAATATTGAATTTTTTATCTGACTTAAATCTGTGTGAAGAAAAGTTATGTGTGAATAAACAGCTACAGTTTATGAGATTCATTTACTACAAAATAATTTTGCTCATCTATGAAAATGATGAGGATTAAAAAGTTAAAATAAATGTGTGAGTTTCTTCTAAATAATAATGTGCACATTTTAAACAGTTATAAATAATTTTCCTTACAGTTGTTGATATTTGTGGTTGTTGTATGAATATGATAAAATTAAATTGCAACACATTTATCCAATACCTAAACATTCAATGTAACCTTTTCTAAGGTTATCAATCAATGATTTATTTAACTAAATAATATGATTCTCAACACTTACAATTTGAATTTAATTTTTGAGAAAACATTTCTTTTAACTTAAGAAATTCAGAAATAACACTTCACATTTCATTTTATTATCTTTTATTAAAGATGTTATTAACCTGTTATTACAGGTTCTTAAGAAACCTATTAAACATTTCTTTTGCACAGTTATATGTTAAGATTAGCTTTTCTTGATATTTTTGAATCCATTGAAGGGGCCTTAAAATTTCATTTCATTCATATTTAATCTGATCCAATACCACCTGTTTTCCACAGCTTAGCGTTTATTTTATTGCTGGGTTATATTAAAAACAAAATTTAACCACACAAAGAAATGATAGTGTAACTTTGATGTTATTTAATTTACAAACATCCATCGAAGCTTTGATATAATATAAAATTAATTATTGTAGTACAATTGTTGGTTTCCAATTAACATTTTAAAATGTGTCTTTTTAATTTTCAGGTGCCTCAAGTATTTATCAATGGAAACTGTGTGGGTGGTGGCTCCGATGTGAAGGCTTTACTTGACTCGGGAAAACTCGAACCAATGTTGATTGGTTAAATTACTCAAACAAAGTACAAAAATGCAAAGGTTATAAGAATATGTTGGTTTATAAAACATCACAATTTTATTTTCATGTTTTTTGTTTCAAAATTTTGTTAAGTACAATTCTTTATTAAGTTTAAAGCATTTATAGCCAAAATAGATATGTATATAAAAATTTAAATGTTTCGTACTTATTTTTGTATAAAAAATAAAGTGTTTTGTTACGCTTATCTATGTTTATTACTAGCTGTTGCTTGCGACCATGTCCGCGTGAAATAATACAAAATAAATATAGCCTATGTTAATTACTGTTAATGTAGTTTTAGAATTTTTGAAAGCAGCGAAATAGTTGAATTATTTCTAATACATACAAAAATACAAATCTTTCCTCTTCGTAATGTTAGTAAGTTAAGTAATTTTAAACTTTAACAACTATTATATTTTGAGATAAAAGTGTAGAAACTTAGTTGTATTAGAATTTTCAAATTTATTTTACAGTAACATCTTCCTTATATCTGATCTACAAACACTTAAAACTAAGTATAAGTAAGGAAACTTCCTGAATGGGAATAACAAAAACAATTTCATTTAAATGATGCTAGTGACTTACAATGGCTTCGAAAAATTATTTAGGCTGATAAGAATCTTGTTAAGTTGAACAAGTTGTGGTTTTGAGACCTTGTACATTAAGATAAGGGGCCGTAGTTTTGTCCTTAAATTGTATTGACATGATGGTAAGTGTTGCCAAAATAAATCGATATTGCTACGTTTGGAAGGATTGTCAGAGAGTAATCTTATATCTTTGCTATGTCATAACACAAGGCGTAATTGTTAATCGGAGATACACTATGTTTTCATGTCATCCTTGCGGCTTTATTAGTTACCAGCTGTTGCTCCCGACTCGGTCCTCGTGAAATTTAAAAATATAGCCCATGTTACTGATCGATAATATAGCTTTCTAATGGTGAATGAATTTTTGAAGGCGACCCAGTAGTTTTTGAGTTATTTCAATACAAACCATTCATGTTATAACATCAGTATAGACTAGATATTAGATCATCGTACTGATGACATGTATGAAAAATAAAGTACAAACTAAAAATGTAACTTTAGACGGCGCTAACCTTAAAACTAATGTAATACCCATTTTTAAGCGAGATCACCCACTATTATAAAGATAAATGTTTAAAATAAAATAAGAAATATAGACAAGAAGTATTAGTAGTTATTGTGTATTTTGTAAATCCACAAAAATGTAGTACAAGTCTATCACCCCTTAGCAGAGTGGAGACTTAAAGTCGGCGCGAACTAATTCTACAGATTTCACCATAAATCTTTCAGTAGGAGTCGCTTGTCCCCTCCCTAAACGCTTTATTACGCTCGCGGGATGAAAACATCAGGCCCGATCAAGGCCACTACGCGCAGCCTCGGGGCGGGTGAGCCGGCGTACGCCGTGCGGTTCCTAGTTATATTACCTATGTCATTGATAAAAGCCTCGTTTTTGCGTAACGCGGGCCGTAGATAAAGAGTGCGTGCGAGAGGGATGAAGCACCCTCGCGACCCCGGGCCCGGCCGCCCTAGCAACAGTTTCACCCGTCCGCCGCCAGACGGCGCTCGTGGCCGCCACACATCTTGTAATATCCTATTTTGTATAGTATAATGTAAACAAACTTGTATTGTTTTTTAGCATTTTTATCCGTAATATGAATCTCTATAAATACATAGCACTTCAGTTGTGAACCAATCTGCCTTTATGTGGTTTGTGATCGAAGCATATGTTTCGTGAATGAGGGAGCGCAAGGTAAATATATATTTTCTAATACGTGTAAAAGCCGCTGGATAAATCTCCAGAGATATAACTATATACAACATGGCACATTATGTATTTTCTGTTTAAAATGTTCTTTTCCGTTACAGACTTAATATATAAATCGGGGTTCAGGTTAGACTAGACAATGTACAACTCGATCACGCTATCGTAGTTACGGACGATGATTGTTGTATTGTAATTGTAAAAAGCCATTGTTCGGTTCATTGTTTTTAGAGTTCACGCATGGCAAACATTTTATCAATATGATTATAGATTTTATACCAAAAAATATAATGATCTTCAATCGTAAATACATTCGAGTACATAAATTATAACATGAAATTAATTGTTCTTAAGATGTTTTTAAATAATTCATATTATAGGATCATTGTTAGTTCAGTTTATTTAAATTAATTATTTTATTTTATAACATGTTTTGGTTAGTACCACAAATAACCTAAAAGTTATCAATGAAACATTTTTTGTATCGTATCTACGGAACGCTAGCTCATTGCGTTTTCGCTACGTACGTAATTTTCGTAACGGAGCTTACGGGCGTCGTTTTGGCGGGAAGGGTCGGGTATGTTTAGGTGGGCGAGGGAGGCTCCACAGACAATATAAGGCAGCGCCGGCTCATCCGCCGCTCAGAGAGCTCGCGTCTCTGGGCGGCGTAGCGCCTAACCGCGTAGACGTGCTACGGCCAAACTTACCTCGTCCGTAGCATCATTAAGTAAAATTTTGTAGTCATTAGGATGAAAATTTCTGCGCCGTTCTGCATTCTTTGTTTTGGTAAGATGTAGTTCATTGATATATTTTAGTTTTATAAGAATAAATGAAAAAGAAAATTTACATATTACGTATTTATACATATAAATATATGACATACACTGTTTTTATTTACGTTCGTTGTTCGTTTGTTAATTTAGTAATAAAGGACAATTAATTGATTTTATAACGTATTTAAAAAAATGCATTTATTTTTGATATAATCAACTTCTTTCTATTAAACTTTTAGTAAATGTTAATATTAAACGATAAAAGCCAATTAAACGAGAACCTACTTGAGTATAAAAGCATTTGTTCCTGAATTCTGCTTTAAATATGAATTTCGCACTGTTAGTTCAGGTTCGTTTACGACAGCATTTTGTCGTATATATGCTTTATATGACAATATAAGAAAAATGTTTAAAGTTTACTCAAGCTTTATTTTATAGGAAATAATATAAACAGTCAAATCGTAAATTTGCACAATTTGAAGTAAAGCGGAGTTTTTTTAAAAATAAAAATTTGCTTTCATGTTTTCTTCCGTTTTAATGGGACTTAATCTCCGGTTGGCCACGGGAAGTTGTCAGTTAAATCGAAATGCAGTGCACGCTCCTGCCTTGTCAGTTTGATCATCTCATTACTGGTAACAAGGTGTTCCATCTTGATTAATGGCATTATAATTAATTATTTTTAGGCAATAGAAATAGAATTTCAACAATACAGTTATGCTCTTATTTTAAAAATATCGCCGCTTGTTAATACAAGAAGTAGACATACATATGTATTAGAAAAAAAATCCCAAATCAACAACCTGAAATTTATTATTGCGTTATTAAATATACGTACAATATTTTGTTAGTATTGATGTAATAAATTTTTGTTTAAGTAACTTACTAAATTATTTAAATCCTATACATAAACTCTGCTCTCTACCGGTTGTATATTTTAAAATACAAGCTAATTTCCTCTTTCAGCCTCTAATTTCCATTTCGTTCAAAGAATCCGCAAACGTCGACTCGCTGTAGACTGAAATGCGCTTGATTTTTATAACATAAAGCAGTTTGCAGGGACGCGGTTCCCCCACACAAATAGATAAAAAAACTACCGTACTCGTATAACAAACCGTGTAGTAGGGAGATGACTCCATGAGTGTTTATTTTAAATAATGCAAAAATTAGACGTTGCTTTACGAATGGACCTACGATCCTTTGAAAAAACGTAATTATCTTTTATTTTGTAAGAGATTTTTCTACCAGGGTTATAATCACACACACACACACACACACACACACACACACACACACACACACACACACACACACACACACACACACACACGCATAGTAATATTTGAATTCACCAACAACCTTTTTATTGTAAATTTGCTTAGATTTATATTAGTGTTCTAAAAAAAAAAATAAAAAACTAGCACTAAGACGGAAGAACCCTGGCTCCTACAAGACGGGCCTAGAGCCTAGTGTAGGAACCAGGCGATCGACCACAATTGTATTAAAAGAAATTTTGTAACTTTATAAATAAATCATTTTAAAATCTTTTTTTTTTAATTCTGACTATACGATTGCACCATATAAACAGAAAATGCAGCAAGTCATCGTACTTACATGCATTACATTCTTAAAATTGTGATTGCGAAAATTTACTTGGATATTTGTTACTATGTATTTCCAGAACGGTTAAACAGATCTCTGCGAAATTAAGCACAGATGTAGAACATAATCTGGAAGAACTGATAAGCCTATTAAGTTATTTGTTAATTCCGGTTGGGCAAAGTCGCTGGCTAAAGCTAGTATTTAATACGTTAAAAATAATCTTAGATATACATATCAACTGTTCGAACGAATTATATAAAAAACCGATATAAGATATGATAATGCTCAAAATTGTTTCAACATAAAATAGTGGTTAGTTTTTAACAATTTCCTTTGATATTATGTTATTAGTTTTTGTTATACTTTGTGAATTCGATGCGGAAACTTTAATTTATTTCTGATATAAAAACTGTATCTGAACCAGTGAGTCGAGAAATTTCTGCAAACAGGTTGCACGGCCGCACAACACATATTTGTAGAATATTTGCAGCCAACACGCATGATTCAGTTTATTGAATACATTTATTATGAAGTGTAGATTACTTTTTCAATTTTATTTAATTAAAATTTAAATTATTATTTCAAATTAATACTTGAAAGTGAATTTCTTAGTTGAGTCACTTTTTTCATACAGTATTGTGAAACTAAACAAAGACGACAATGAAAACTAACCTTAAAATAATTATGACAAAGATTTATTTAATCATCTAACTTAACATTCAGATGAAATCAAACACTTTAAAGTTTTAAACTTCAGATGGAAAAATATTAATTAAACTCGAATTCGTCGCGGGATAACTCATCAAAAATGTATAGAATTCGTTTTGATTTGCATAAAAGTCATTTTATTGGCTCGCAAGACAAACAGAATGGGATATTAGCCGTTGGAACGGATCCAGCGTGCTGTCAGGATAGGTGAACCCACGACCTGCGACCCGTCACAAATAACTTTTCGTTTCGTCGCTACATCTGACGTGTTCAAGGACTTTTCATACATTTTAAATGCTATTTTGTATGAAAAAATGTCCTTACCATTTTGTTGTTCATGAATATGCTTATTGATATGACATAATGCATCTACCAGAGTTACATATATGGATATTATGTTTCAAGTATGAAGTTAATATTAAACTTAAAGGTCTAAGTTTTCTGTGTATTTTTTATGTCTGTAGAAACTTATTTATAACTGATATTATAAAGATTTATAATTTTGAATATTTGTATATATTTAATTTACGTAAAAACTATTCGGCCGATTAAATTCTTTCACCATTAGAAACGTAATTTATCTGTGAATAACATAGGCTATATCTTTTATTATATTTCAATGTCGCGAAAACGAAGTCGCGAGCAACAGTTAGTTTATAATTAAACTGACAGTCGTTACTTGATTTTTGTACTTTTTTAGATCTCCCTTTCGAATATTAAATAGTGATGTTTTAAAACGTATTTGATGACTGCGTTGATTACACAAAAGAACGGTTTTACCAAGGAATTAATTTATTATTCACACAGTGCTTTTGAAGACGGATTGTAGTTTTTCATAAGAATTAAAATCAAAGATTTATACACTGCTCACTTTTATTAATTATTTTTTTATTTCTGGTTAGTTTTATTTTATCATAACCGTGTCCATCTTTTGTTTCAGATGCTTAATCGGACGTTTCAGAGACCCGTTTTTAAAATAAGCTAATACGAGCTGTTATTTTAAATTTTAACGTAAATAGTACAAAGATATCGAACTTATTTTTGCAAAGAGCGTACTAATTTATTTTTATAGCCGCCTGTAACGCTAGTGAGATCGGAGCTTGCGCGTAAAAAGGAGAATTTAGCTTGAATCCTGGCTATTTAGTGTAATATATTGGAGCGAGATTGTGTTATCGTGGATCGTGGGTAGGTTTACGGGGAAAACAATGAGAACCGGTGTCGTAAAGCATTGGTATCTGGTTATTTGGTTGCGGGTGTAGGGACGTGTAGTGCTGCGGTAGTGATGTGCGAGGACAAGGAAGAGGCCCGCAGTGAGGCAGAGGCGGCGGGTCCGAGCCCTCGAAGGTTGTGCTGGCCACGCCGCCCGCCCGCGCCCCTGCCTGACACCAGGGGGCTCTGCTGCGCCAAGCTGCTTCGGAAGAATGGGAAGGCTAAAAAGGTTGGTACATACATACCATGTTAATGCCTAACAAGAGTTAGTAAATTTAAAAGTAAATGTCGGTTGTATCAAACTTTAATGCCAAAGTTGGCCGAAGCAAGTTTGTTAATTTTCGATAGTCTGTCCGACGTGTAATAATTTAACATTTCGTACGACAGAGTAATTAGTATTTTAAACAAGTGATTCGCGAGCTGGTAACTTTGCATCAATTCAGTCTTGTTCGTGCGCTCGCTAACTTTAATTGGCTGCCTCGGGGCGGACGACTGCGGCCGAGAACGGGGAATATCACGAATATTGCTATGAAAATATTATTTTACATGTAGTCATCGCTGTTCTTTTATTGTTTTTAAACAATATAATTACACTTTAAATTAAAATATATTGATCACTAGCTGTCCGCGTGCGGCTTCATCCGCATGAAATTATAAAAACTTTATTTTATCGTTTATATTTGTCATATTCTGAATTGCAAATGTCAAAATACCAACTATCTTACTATGGCAATCTTGCTTTTTTGATCTTGGCAGCAACTTATGGTCTCTTTCCCACATTAGGGTTTTTATCCAAAATATTTACCTCTTACGTTTAATGGCGTGAAAATATATAGCCTAAAGCGTGACATAAGTGTAGGGCTTTTTATTTAAAAAATATTTATTAAAAAATGTGCAGTAATTACTGACATCTTAGGCAACAAAGAAGTGTGTGTTTACGCTTTCTTATAATAGTATAGATGAGATAAATAAATTAGATCAACTATTATTTTATAATTAACTACTCCTATTCTGAATCTTTCTCTTGTATTTTCTTAATTTATGCTAACAAACTGACGGGTAGGTCGTTTTGAAGGAAAGTGCGAAGTTATATCATTGTCTACATTCACCGCAAGGTTTGTACAAAGCGTTCTCATCGAGATACAGAATTTGGCCGTCAATAAATCGTGTAGCTAACAAGTTGAGTGTAATAATTCACCTTCGCCGTCGTTGTTTAAGCGCTACGTTCGCCGCTTAACCGCTCCCTCAGTGGAAATAATTCTCATACTCCGAGCGAATGACGTACAAAACAAGATTTCGCCTTCAAGTTTTGAAATGAAATAAACTTTGATACCACAAAATGTAACCCAGCCAGTTGTTTTGCGGTTGTTCAGTGTTTTGTTTTCTTGGTTTGGACGAGAATATGTCCTTGAATAGCAATTGAAACTTTACACCTTTATACTGAATGATTTATTATTTTCTAAAGTAACAAGGAAAACGTTAGTTATGAGTGTGGAAGGGTACAATGGTAGAGGTAGACTTAGAAAGAGATGGATTGCGTTAAAGTTGACATGATCAAAAGGGAATGACTGGGATGACGTATGATTAGTTATTTGGAGGACAAAAACCTGTTGCGCCGACCTTAAGGGAGTAGGATAAGGAGCATGATGATGATCATTTATATTGGTAGGAAATATGATATGAATAAATTAAATAGCAATTTTTATGCAAATAACAGTAGCGGTAGCGGTTCACACTTCACTGCGTACGTCGCGTCGTTGCGTTCACACGGAAAATTATAACTGACGTGTCTACTTAATGTTCTGCACAGTTTTCCACATGTTAACTTAGTTAACGCCATGTTTTATTTAAGCATGGAGCTAATGTCTTAATAATTCAACTAAAATTCATTTATATCTCTGAAGAAAAATCTTACTGCACTATATTTTTTTGGTTGGAATTTTAAAATTATACATCTTACTCTAAAAAATAAATGCTTTTCAAATTTTATATAGAAATCGGAATGAAAATGTAGAATTTAAATTTAAATAACTAACTTAAATTAAAGTTTTTAACTGCACAAAGAGATTTAAGTACAGTAAAGGCTATTTACTTTTTAATTAATTCCTAGAAATCTTTACAAAGCCACATACTCCAAACTACGTCAGATCTGTCTACGAACATCAAATGTCATGGATGAACGTTTTCCCTGATTATAATATGTGTTATTAAAACCACAACGGGACTTTGTGATAATGAAACATCTTTGCTACGATACGGATCGGCTTCCTTCATATTTCATGGTAGAGTACGTCAAAGTTAATCAAAGTTCCGATAAGCCCGTACGTCGGAGCTCGGTTCAACAAAATTGCATTTGATATACACATGGTTTATACGTCAATTGATTGAGGATCATTGAACTTGTACGCTTATTTAACTCTCCATTATTATTATAAAGTGTATTGTACAAAAGAAAAAACATCAATTAAAACGCTACATGTAACGCAATGCAACTGAAATTATAACAAAATTACTTTACTTTATATCTGAACCTTAAATTCAGAACAAGTATAGATCCACTACTTGAATACAGTTACTACATACTACAGACAGTAAAAATATTTAATTTTACTGATTTCAGTCTGTAGTCTTTTAAACAATTGTTCATGTTATACTCATTTATTTGACGCTCATAAAACATTAAATACATAAAAGTTATTGCATGTAAAGTAGTATTCATATATGCAGATAGTTTCTATACTCAATATCTTCGAGAGGAAAAAGTAAAAAGCGAAATACATGTGCAGACAGTTTTCGATCTTGCTAATGTGTCTGTTACGGATACGATGACATGCACCCTCCCGGCCGGGACACACATGCAACATAAAACTGAACTACGTCTTGAAAATGTATAATCAATAATAGTAGATATGTATATATTGTGACACATAAAAAGATTTAACAAAAGCCTACGAAAGAAACAAGAAGGGAGTGATGACTAAGATGACAGATGATAGAATGCTTTGGAGGACGAAAACCCGGTGCGCCGACCCTACGGGAGTAGGATAAGGCACGGGAGATGATGAAAAGCCTACGAAATCATTTAGTTTACGCCGTAAAAATGAAAATAACGTATACTTCTTGGAACGACAGTAATTTTTTTAATTAACAACATGCTGTAAAACTAATAAAAAACAAAAACATTTTATGTTATTTTCATTACTTTATTTTCTGTCTTCTTTATTTCTTCCGTCAAGTGTCTACATAAGTTTGATATATTTGATGGAATATTCAAAAGAACGTTCCACCATTTTAAAATTCAACTTAGTTCGTGAACTGTGATAAAAGTTCAAACAACGAAAGTTATCCACTAACTACTTCAGAATTTCTTTCTTAGCTGCATCGGTTGCTGAAGAGTTTTCACAATGTCCACACACGTGCTGGAGTTTGTGAAACTTGAGAATGTGTTATAACATGATTCAAATGATGACCTTAGGTTTTTATTCTTTTCAGTCTTATGGTAAAAAGAATAATAACAACCATGGTTATTACATTTTAGTGATATTAATTAGGCATATTTATTACAAAGTTTTTCAATTTCATTTTATAATCGCTCGCTTTCCTTTAAATCTTTTGTTATACAAAAACGTCTTTTGAATTTAAAGTCTGAGCTATTAATTTGTAAAGTTCCTAGTTGTGTTTTCGTTAACTTGAATGTTGAATAGTGATTACAAAGTGTTAGTATTGCATCGTAACTTGAGCAAATAACTTAGCCGCGAACTGCTAACTTAACATCAAATTAGTTTCCGCTGACGTGCAGCGCTTTGGCCGCTTTAATTAACCGCCTCGCTACAACCGGCGCAAGAAGTTTGCACTAAAAAACTAAACTAACTCATGTGGCTACAGCGCACGTAATGAGTTAACTTTAGTGTTACACTGTTTATTACTTTCAATTTAAAATGTATTTTGAATTATATATAAACAATAGATAATTCATTAATATAACAAATAAAACATGTTATATCATTGTATTTGTAAGGAATAAACACAAAAACTACTAGAATGATTTTAAACTTTATTTCTCTATTAGAATGTTACAAATACCTAGACTGTATCTATTATTAGAAATATGTAAATATTCACTTTTGTCAGGACGCTAGTAAAATGTAATTACAAGTCTGTTGTCAAAATAGAAATATTAGAGGAAGTTAAGCAGTTTCTTTTTATCCAAATAACTACAAGATTCGCGTTACAATTTTATTGGAATATAACTAAAAGGCTTCCACAAGAAGCTGCATTTATCGCTTTGAAATTCTGAGTTGAACAGAAAGTTTTCAATCGTGCTAATGCGTCCGAGTTCGATACACGAATCGCATAACGACTGCCGACTTACCAGATAACGTACAAGTGCATTGGAAATGTAAAATCAATGAAAACAACACGACCAAAGGGAGGGTCCTTTTGCTAAGCACAGTAAATAATGCTCCTTTTGAACTAAAACATTTTGATAAGGTGATCTTTGTTCGTTATACCGTATTTTACGTCTAAAAAGTGAAGCACAAGAAATCTGTAGAATTATTTAAATTTAAAATTCTGCCAAAATTTGAGCTGAAGAAATACGAGCTAGTCATTTCTCTGGATAAAACCAATTGAACAAACAACTACTTGTCTTGAATGTAAAAATCAGATTTCTTTTCTTTATTTTAAATTTCAAAGTGCATCTGGGTAATATAAAAATAAACTTACTGTCGTGTTGTAGAGACCAGCTGTTGATTTTCACGATAACGTTGAAACTTCGCAAAGGCTGTATCAATAAAACTAATGCCCTCTATCGGACGACATTAATGCTAAGTATTGGTAAGTTCTGTTGTTTGGTCTTCGCTTTATTTCTGTACATTTTGTACGTTCACAGTTGGTCTTTTAATATTAATATTGCCTCGCGATTTTAAAGGAGGATGTAGCAAAGAATATAAATACTAGTTAGTATATTACCGTGGTTTTCCTTAACTGATAATGCTCCTCAGAATATTATTGTGATTCTTCTAATAAGAAATAAAAAGAAATATCTTTAAAAAAATTAACAATCACTTTGCACTTTCGGTACTGCAAACAATGTCAAGAGGTAACAGTGGTAAAGCGAGGTGTTACCTATTTCATTTAAATCCCAGACTTTAAACGTTACTTAGAGCACCTTTTTCAGTGGAGTACTTAATACTCGAGTGCAGTTCAAACGAGAACAATGTGCACCCG